CAAGCGTAGCGCGTAGCCACCTGTTTCCTTCCCACGAGTGATACTCATTTACTAACCTCGAAAGGAAGAAAAGCAAGTGGCCCAGAGAGGCCGGAACTCTGGACCCATCGGTTCTGAGTTCGACCCTATACTGACTGCGCAATCGCGGTCTAGAGCGATGTGTAGTAAATTCCTTGCTTAAGGAAATTCGAGAATAATACAAAGATTGCCCTAGGGCGGAATCGAAAAGGAACCTCTGGAGTTCGAACCAGACCGCTTAGACAACAGTGCCAACAAGCTAACGCCACTAATCAGGACTGCTTAGTAAAAGATTCTACGCCTGCAAGTATATGACTACCACATAGCAGTGTTAATTTTTCCATCAAGGAACGATAAACGAGGAGTGGCCAAGCATGGATTCAAAAATGTGATCTTTAAACTGGGAGTCCAATGCACTATCGCTGAGACAGAGCAAAAGTTTCATCACTGGCACTGTGGACACCTAGGTCAATTATTCAGCTAAGTGGTAAAGCGGAGCGTCCCTATAGGACAGTCGATTAAATGACAGGCGCTAAAGGTGGATGAAAGGAAAAGTAAAGAATTTAGACACCTAGTATCGTTGCCTGATCATTATTATCAAACATGATCAAAATGCATCTGTTGCAAGCTATCGACTTGCCGGTCAATCAACAGCGGCGAGTACAGTACAGGGCTGGCAATACACTCAGGGAAATGGAGGAATGAAGAGTTTTATTCTATAAATTCTCAGGTCACGCATCGAGGGCGACACAGTCATGTTTTTTCGGCAATGCCTCTGTTGCTATAATTTTTCTGCGTTACACTGCTATATGTAGAAACAGTCACATTATGCTGATAGCAACTACATTAATAGTAATCATACTTCCTCTATGTCGGACACCGTGAATTCAGTTTGAATTTGACAGACCTGCCTTCTTATGTAGCTTTTTCGTTAGCATCGTCTGTCGTTCACAGAAGCGACTTTACAATCGAGATGTTTGATCGTTTACAGTGAGAAAACAGTACATGGCAAAAAAGGCCTTTAGTAAAATGCAACAAGAGCAAACTTACTTTTTGGAGGAATGATTTCGGCGACGGAAGGCACCTTGATGCCAGACTGTGCCGGCTGCTTTTGGCAGGTTTCCAGAGTAGGTGTACTTTCATCAGAACTATGATTCTGTGAAGACCGAGAGGTAAACTTTTTCACTCCTGGAAGTAACGCCGAATTCCTGTTCTAAAAGATAGAGCAACTATTGCTGACCAAGATTTATAAGAGAAAACAGTAAGGTCATTAATTAATTATTTAATAATTAATGCGTCATACGTATAACGGAGAAAGATAAAATCGAAGAACGTCTGAAGTAGTGAGCGAACCCGAAGTTCAGATTTTTATCCTCAACCTTAAACCGGCTGTTCAGACGTTCATTCTTGCGCGAAAGGCGCAAAAAGTAGGGCCTGCATCTCAGGTCAGAGTTACATGCAATTATTTTCATTAGAATTTTCGGTAGCCACGATGGCTTGCTCTGAACTATGAAACAGTTGACACCTTTACTATAAAAGAAACAGTTCCACTCAAAAACTAAATCCCCTCTACCTTGCTCCTCCAGGTTGTATGCTGGTCATCCGGTCGACGTCGTATTTCAGCTCCAAACCCAGAAGCTTATGGGTTAGAGTAAATGGTTTACGCTCAACCAATTTATCTAATAACGCCAATCTTCTTTTCTTATCCTGCCATTTAACTTTCATTATGCGCTGAAGCCAACGTTTTTGCACACAGTTCAAAAGTCGTTTGCGGAGCTTCGTTAGAACAACTGTTTCCATGCCAAACAACAACACTAACCTGAATGTAGACAAGACATAAACGGATTTTTGTTGAAACAGTTACTCCTTTCTCAGAACAGGTATTTGAGAGAATATCAAAAGCATTGGAGGCGACGGCAAATCCAATTTTACAAAACATTTAAGGAACGCTGACAGTTCTAAACAAAAAAAACCATCTCATTTTTCATAAGTCGTTTCACTGTCGTCCAGCACCAGCTATATCAATTTGTTCGTAGTTTATTAGTTTCACTGTTTTGACTTCAATCACGTGCAATGAAGGACTACATGAAAATTACCAACATCCCTACACATCGAACCCTCCGCCAATTGCTAGGGATCTGCAGCACTGTTCCTAAAATTCTGCCTGTTCCTAATCGGGTCGCGTTCTGCAATTCGTCCACCTTGATTCACATCATCAACTGATTTTTGTAAGTACTGATGGTGTCGTTTCAATGTTCCGAGAGCACCGATCACCACAGGAATGAGTTCTACCTTCATTCTCCAGATCTGTTGCATATAAATAATCAATTCTTAACCCCTTTAAATAATCCTTTAATTAATTATTTAAATATCTTAACTCTCTGCTTAACAACAACGTTGCAGTCAACAGGGCAGACATATCAACAATCTGTGCCCATCTTTCCTCTTTGTCTACAAACACAATATCCGGATGATAAGCTGATATTTTCTGCTCAGTTCATTTTGGGAATTCATAGAGGATTTTAACTTACTTCGTCTCTTCCATTCCTTTCGCCAGATGTTTCTACCACTGCGATGTCACTGACCGCCGAGTTGGCGAAGACACTGTCCGTGAATCTGTTTATTCTTCTAATTAATGGATCCGGTTTTCTCTAGATGTTCCTGACAATCTTATGCGCTTCTAGCTGTCTACTGTTGTAACGTACAGGCCATTATCCCTTACAGCCTTCTAAACCCTATCATTTACTGTCATGGCCGGACACTGCCTTAGGAAAGATGTCTCTAGTTCCAGTGTATCATAGTGACTATGAAGCACTACTCCTCCTTTTTTCAGCAGGATATATAGTGTTTGTCCATCTTTAATTTTGGATGTCCCATCCCCCCAATTTCTTGTCTTTATCCAGTTCTAATCTAATCACTCGACGATACGCTTGTATAAGCAAGCACCAATACATCGTACTGGATAATGGCCACCATTTTCTGCTTACAGCACAACTATTCCTAGAGTCGGCGGATTCCCTTGTCGTGTTCTGACTTGATCAGTTATTTCATTTTTTGGTAGTATATTGCTCCATTCCAGCTCGCGGATAAATTTGTACCGCTGTCCTTCCAAGCTATTTATTTTATCAGCTGTTAGCTTCACTCCGTTGCATTTCCGGATTTGTTTGTCCCTTCTTAATCTCGCACGTGAGAAAGATCTGCTAAAGCAATGGAATGAAGTTACAACTGACAAAATACACAGTTACCAACTGGTACGTTGTACCGCTAGTACTGTTTATTTCATGCATATTTTTTTATTTATCTGTGCTGAAAAATGGGATTTCTTGGTGGCCATGTTCAAGCAATTAAAGTTAAAGTCGCTTCAATGAATTCGTTGATCTAACCGATGAGATGAAATGTCAAATTCCTTTACTACTAGGCCTATAAAATATGTTCTGCATTATCGCAGAAACACATGAAAAATGCTTCAACAGGCAACACAGCCTTGTCCTTTCAGCACTGCAAGTAACTTTCAGAACCCAAGAGATTAATGGCATATACGCACTTTCTTTTTCCAATGCTACTTGCGTAATTTCGATAGAAGGGAATGCCACCTTTGCCCTAGGTAACTATATCATAGGTTTATGCAATTTCACTCTGAAAATACCTCAAACAAGTTGCTCTATATTCAAAGATCCAGCCCCCCTCTTCACTATCACGAAAAAAATAAATGTGAACGAAGCAAGAATATCACAAACAGAACAAACACATCTACAGGTCATACCAAACTGTTTTCAGATTCCAACCTCTCCAGTCGCCTGGCCTCCATCTGCATAAAGTTATCCTTCTGCGCCGGAACGGGCATCGGTTGAGATGGATGACGAAATCGCCGACTCTTTATGTCACCCTGGCGTGAATGATTGAGGGACAGCGGAAAACTTACCGGTCGAACTACGTGGCAAACAGAGTGATTCTTTGCCTGGGTTGTCTGAATGGCTGGCGAAACCGAATGTAACCTGAAAGAAGACTAAGGCGTAACAAGGGGATAATGACATTAACGCTGAAACATCTGCGCAATACGACATGGAAAAACAGCTTTTAAACTAGTTCTGAGCATAAATACGGTGAAACTACGATATTACGTTTTGACTTAAGGTCAGATGACAATAAAGCATTATGAACTTGTACGTTTACGCCCAGCAAACTGGACTCAGGCCTGTGTCGGTGCTATGGCAGAACCAAACTCGGCCTGAGAGAAACACTGAATGAAAGCCAGTCAGCGGAGGAGTGAAGATACTCTGACTGAAGGTACAACAGGCCAAATCTTTGACCTTTTTACAGGTCCATGAGGGCAAATTCAGAAGGAGAATGAGTCCTTCCTGGGAGAAGCAGAAGGTGCTATATACTGACCATGAAACCATTATTCTGACGAATGATTTAAATGCACGCCAGAGCGAACACGCATATGGAAAAGCTTGACTGGGGCCCTAGCGAACTCAACAACAACAGTAACGTGTTCCAGTTGTAGATCCATCGTGCGGGATGGGTTCGTAATAACCTATGATTTCTGAATGTTAAGGTAGAGGCCGGCTTTCGCGGCTGCATTGCACATGGAAGCCATAAGGTGATGAATTTCGCTTCCCACCCTACACATTAGGAGATGGTATTATTTGCAAGATATCAATCCGGATACTTTGAACCGCGTCCAGCCCCCCCCCCAAAGAGAAACCCTCTTCTTTGGACTCTGGCACAATTTCAGAAAAACTTGAGAACACTGTTAAATGGCAAGGGTACTGAAGGTATTTTTTGATGACAGATATTATAACAGAGAACCAATTAGATAGCTCTTTCGCATTTGACGGCAGAAACAGTTTCTAAATGCAACTCTTTCATGGAGTTAAGGGAGTGCTAAGGCATTTTTATAGCATTTTAAGATTTTCCATGTTGGACAGTGAACTGTATAAAACGCAGCACTGAAGTCAGTACTGGCATACATAGGTAACTGCCATCGTCGCACTGCCCAAGGATTTTGAGAAGAAAATTTGGTCAGAGGAAGAGCATCACGTCAAGATGTCTGATTATACGATGAACTAATCGAACTTTTCTAATGAACTGGTTCGTTCCTTCAGCCTATTCAGGATAACAATTCCCCGGAGTTGAGAGCAAAGCGAAACTGCGACGATTGGAGTAGCCTATTAGTCAACAGTCTTTAAAACATGAAGATAATGACTCTACACGTAGTTCTCCATAGAAAGTTCACATTTAATTAAAGATGGTGCAGAACCTTTCTGCCATTTTTTCCCATGGTTCATTTACTTGGCGGGAATTCGCTTTGCACGGGGTTTTCTGCACCCGGAAGGGCACTTTGAATTTTAATTTTGTGGGTAAATTTTCACTAGGTTATAGTATTTGCAGAGGATCATCGATCTAACGGGCAAATACGTAGGAAAGCCGCTAATCAGTTACTCAGAGCATCCATCGATGAGGTAACGGTTTACCCGCGAAAGGAAAGAAAAAATAGTCTTTAACCACTGAAAAACTCGCCCTCGTTACACTCACATGATTTGGGCTATTTCTTTTCATGAACATAATGGTGGGTAGCGCTGAGATCCATTTCTATGCAATCAGTCATTAGTGCATTATTTTCGAGACAAAATGGAAAGCAGACATGCAGTGGGGTGTAGTCTCCTGTTACGTTGCTACAGACTGGTAAAAATTTACCAGCCTCGGAAGGAAGAAAGACGCATGAGCTGACTAAGGTTGAACCCGAGGCCTCTCGGTTCGGAATCCAACGCTCTAGTACCTTGAAGTAAACTCAGGTAAATGAACTAAGGTAGAAGTTTCTGATTCTGGGATATTGCTCTAACGCCACGAATGTGCTGCTAAACATGAAAATGAATGAATGGCAGATTGCGCGAGCAGCGTCGTATCTCCTGTCTGATAGGACTATTATTCTACTATCTGCGCATCGAACTTTCGCTCACTTTCCGCTCTTATTGACGTTCATTTGATCGTATATCGTATTTCATGTCAGACTGCAGCGCTAGCCGAATTTTCGATGCCAAATGCCGCACACAGGTCAATGCGTTAAACTCTGCATGCGTAAGTCAACATTGTTCGGCATCGCCAGAGGCAGGAAGGCCAGCGATTAAGCAATTTTTGAAAGCAGCAGAAAATCGATCGACCAACTAGCAGATCGAAAACGACTATGATTATGAACACTATGAAAATTAGGCTTTTGCGAAGAAACAGCCAGCCACGATGGATGACAAATTCTTTAGCATAACGTATGCTAAAAAGAACAGCAGTCTTCTAGCCAAGCATACGGCATATTCTTACAAAAACTGCATGTATACAATAAAAAAGTAAAGGACACATTACAGAGACGAATATTATAACTATTTACCTTTCTTCCGTTTCTCTTGTAGCTTTGAGAAATGAAGGCATATTCGAAACAATAACGAAATCATTATCTACATCCAACGCATCCTGATTTGGCGCAGCAGCAGCGGCACTCGGCGATGGCCTTGCAAACGACTGACCACTGATCATTTTCGATGAACCGGGCACCGCCGTCGTCGACGAACAACCAGCAGAGTTCGGTGGAAACAACGGGTCGCGTGAGGAACAGTCGGTATCGTTGCCACTTTCTGAGCTACCCTCCATCAGTGCCAAGTTGTTGAGCTGATCGACGACGCTCAGTTCAGGAATGAGCGATTTGAGCGCAGGAGGTTCCTTCAAGAATGGATGCAGAAAAAAGCTGTCTAAAACGTCAGCGGTTACTGGCGCTGCTACGACTGGCAGGAAAGAAACTAATAAACTTACAGAACTCGATACGATCCTTCGGATTTCGCTTCAATAACTTTGACAACAGGTCCTTCAGATCCTCAGAAGCAGTTTCAGGAATACTGCAAAGCATTCATCCCGTAAATATGTCATACGTTCAACAACATAAACCAAAGAAAAACAGTACCACAGGAATTACAATCGTCTTACTTTGGCTTTAGATTTTTATTCTTTTCATAGAACTGTTTCAGTGCCTGCGGAGTCTGCGCCTGAAAAGCATCATATCTCAGTTATGGCACGATGGTGTTACTTTGTCTGTCGCTGTTACTTGAAAAGGTGCTTTGCCAGTCAGACACTGAAAGACAATGGTACCGACGGACCACAGATCAGCCTTGGCACAGTACTGCATTGACATTATCACTTCCGGGGCATAAAATAGAAAGTATTATTAATATAGAATAGCATGCAAAAACATTCAATATAAAACCTGGATTTATACCTCAAAACATTAACGGCTAAAAGCAACATACCATGTACATGGGCGAACCGCATAAGGTTGCAGCCATCACGCCGTCCTGCAAAAACCGTGCGAAACCAAAGTCAGCTGCAAAAATAATACAATAAAACAACAAGCCACGGGTGGTCATAAGCAAGAAACACCCACCAATTTTTAGAAGGATTTCGTTAGGCTGCGGATTCGGCTTGTTGGACAAGTTACAGAGAAGAATATTCTGTGGTTTGAGGTCGCGATGAACAATTCCCCTAGAATTTATGGCTTTGATAGCGGCGGCCATCTGCCGAAGAAACAATCGAATGGTGTCCTCGCTAAGCGTGCCTTTGCTTTGCAAATAGTCAGCCAGATCACCCCCGTTACAGTACTGAAGAGAAGCAAGTGCAGAAACGCCAAAACCTACTCAAAATTTTAATTACCTCCATAATTAAGTAGACGTGTGAATGGGTCTCCTGAAAAAGTAAAAATTAGTATGCACAACGATACCCTTATTTAACACTTACTATACATGTCAATAAACCGACAAGATTTTCATGGTGCAAGTTGCTCAGCTCCTAAAATGTGACATACAACACAGTAGGAAGAAGTAACGGTAAAAATGTCGAATTCATAAAACCGCTGTAAACGCAAAAACTGACACTAAAGAGATTCAGTCTAAAGTAATCATAAAGCATAATTAATTTTCAAATAAATTATAACGAATTTAAGTATAACAAAAGTGAAAATTTTAAAACTAATGAAAACGGAAAAATAAACGAATCACAATCACGAAAATAATCATTACTGAATCCTGCACTTGCAGGCCAAATGACATATCGCTCACCCATTTTTCCACCCATATTAAATTTTAATCAATTCAACTGTTTCAAATTACAAAAGTATTTGTGATGCGCACGCATTAAGTGCCAAAAAATTAAAACAATTTTGTACTTTTAAAATCTTGATTTCCTTGCCCAACAGATTTTTCGATTTCGACAAGTTCTTTTTGGTTATGCTTTTTATAGCGACGGCAACTTCTGGTTTCTGAAAAAAACAGCATCTGCAGAGGTGGGCAACGCCAAAGAAAAATTTCGTTACATACCGCTTTCAACCTGCCCTTGAAGACGACTGCGAAGGCCCCATGGCCTATCAGGTCCTTCTTACTGTACTCAAAGTCGCCAATGCTCTCCATATTTTTCACTGGCTGCTGAACAGCACAAGATCATTTTCTAGACTTTAAAGCCTGTATATTACATCAAAGCATTGCCAGACACCGCATACTCCAATATTACGTAGGTGTTGCATATGCAGGACCAATTTGTACTATTGTGTGCTATTATCTATAACGTAATCTAGCCAGCAGTTTAAACACCATATGATATAGGAAATGTCACACTAATATACACTGTTATTCTAAATCACATAACATCAAACAGTACTATTGTGGATATTACTTTACTGCAACAAGGAACCGCCGTCCTACAATTACTTCGCTGTATCACATATACAGATATACTGAACTACAATGAAAAGGTTGGGTAAAATAAAATACACTGATAGAAGAGGGTACTCCAACATAACAGCGTAACACTGCTACTTAAGTATACGATGCGACAGCATCGGATCACTGTAGTGCAATATTGTAATGCACATTAGAAAACGTAGGCAATTAGTACAGTAATGCATATAACATGACAGAATATGCAGTTACACAAATCTGCCTCACTGCGTTACGTTCTTTACAGTATATTTTACTTTAATGAACATCAGTGTAATACATTATATTACCGAGTGCAATATAACACACAGAGGTAAACATAAAATAATATGGTATTAAAAATAACGACTACAGAATGCTAAGCAGCTGTTTAAAACTATCTGCAAAGGCGGCTGGATGGTCATACCAGAGAATCGTATCAGTTGTTGTGAAGGTCTGTTCTGCCTCTCTTTCCTTACTATCAGCATAACAGACGACTCGACACATCTTTTGCGTCACATTCTCGCATGTTGCAAGTCGAAAATGAATGCGACGCGGGCGAAACTAAATTTTCAGACAGAACTATTCTGTCGCTCAGTGGTTCCCCACAAAATCCCGGTTCGATAGAATCCCCAAAATTTAAAGACACTCTGGAGGTCTGCTTGACTTGATTTTATGCTAAACGTATTTTTAGTTCCTCGAAAACTGCTAATAAGCAGAAACAGTTCGCCATAGCAATAAAACTGATTGAATGATTGACAAAATTATAGCACATAAACTGGCAAACATAACTGTAAATTCCCGTAAATGATCATATTATTGTACAAGGTGGGATGCAATACTTCAGTACAATACTAATAACTACACAAAGAGTAGTGAACATTAATGTAACGGTACACCAATATAAGACAACTGAATGTAGCTTCGTAGTACGGTTATATGTAGTAGTATGGCGCGATTATATATCATCGCAAAACAGTACTCGTTTATTTTACAGGGTCTTCTACTGTTCTACAATGTTCTACATTGTACGTTCGTGTACTGCTACATTAAACTGTATTGGTATTAGTGCAATATTAGCCATCCAGCACAGCTTTATTATGCCACTCGAAGCAGTATTATGTTAGTCTACCTCGCTATAAAAATGCACAGCTGCTGTGCATATATTATTTAACATATTATAGTTGCATGTATTAATATTGTGCGACTGTATGGTACTCTATAACACTATTTTAGCAGATTAATGCACACAGTAAAATAAATGGCAAGACACTTTCTATAGCACAGTTGTGAACATCAATACTGAAGAGTATACTAATATCTTAATGGATTACAACACTGTATATATGTATATATATATGCCCCCTAGAGCTTAAAGAACGACAACGGCGACGTCGCAATTTTCTTCAGCAGCAATAACGTTATTTAACGGTTAGCAAAAGACCTATTATTCAACCGAACTTAAAAACCTAACAAAGACTTAAGAACCGACAGAGAAAATACAGGGCTTTAATCTCTAGGGTGACGGGTCAACCCGGCTTTGGTGCAAAAAATATAATATAAATAAAGCAGAAGTTATGAGATGTGAATCTGAATTTTTATAAAAGGTCAGCCTAAATCAAATCTGCTCATGCTGCTTTAGTTTACGACCGCATGAGAAGGACCTACGATTGCCGCGTATCAACA